CTTTGCAGGAGAAAAATGGTGGCTACAAGTAAAAGATCAGGTTAGCTTACAAAGGTCATGAGAGATAAAATTAAATAAAAGCATCATAAATTTAAGAAGTTTAAATTGCCTGCTCTGATGGGAGACTTAGAGAATTATTGAATATCAAGGGATTTAGTTAAACAGGACAGAAGGAAATCAAAAACTGTTTAAGAAAAAAGGTTGTTTGAAAACAGTTAGGATTTCTTTAAATACACTGAGGGTAAGCATAATGTTAGGATGTGGAGTAGCACCTTTGAGGGATGATAAAGGAAACTCATTTTGGATGTTTATAAGATTTTTTGGTTATTTTAATAAATAGTTAAAAAATATTCCTCATCCTGAACATTTGCTACATGGAAATAAGATCTGTCACAATGATCATATTAATATTGAGTTTGTCAAGAGACAATTGAGAAATTGAAAAAAAGGTAAATCTCCTGATAACATTCCATAAGCATTTTGAAGGATGTTATGGATTGGATATGTGAGTCACTTGTTAATATTTTGTTAATAGTGATCAGTTGCTAAAAGACTGGATGTTGGATAATGTTTCTCCTCATTTCAAGGGAGGAGAAAAAATTATCTCGTTAACTATAGTCCTATTAGTCTTATGGCAATGTTGTGAAAAGTTTTTGAAAGTCTGAACAAAAGATACTTTGTAAAGTCATTTAACAATGTTTAAAATTTTGTTGGATAAGTTAACATTGTTTCACAAGGGAAAAATTTTTTGCCTTATTAATTTTTTGATATTCCTTCAAGAGGTTACTGCTTATGTAGATGAAGATAACGATGTGGATTTGGTATATCTATATTTTCATAAAGCATTAAACAAGGTGTCAAATAAAAAGCTTGTTAAAAAATACTTTATAAGTGTGAGGAATAAGCTGGCTTATTGGATAGAAAAATGGCTGGATGGAAGAAATCTGAGGGTTGTTATAAATGGAGTTCATTCAAACTGGATTAACATCACAAGTTTAGTAACTCAGGGCTCAGTGTAACTGTTAGGACTAGGGTGACCATCCATCCTGGTTTTGCCAGGAAAGTCCCATTTTTTGTTAGTTTGTCCCAGTGTCCCAAGAAAAGTTCTGGGGTTAGACAAATTGTCCCGGTTTTATGATAAAGACATCAAACTATCAGTTTCACAAATGTAATAGGTCTACTTGACTTGGTCATTGTTCTAACACATACTCTTCTGGCACTAGCATCTCTTAAAAGTTCCATCTGTGAAAAACCCAGGTCTGAATGTGGAGACAGTTAAGGCAGCACTCATCATCAAAAGAAACTTTGTGCAGTCAAATACCAAATTGTACGACTTCTTAATGAAAAAAAAAAAACCAGCAATTATACTTTCCATTCACTGTTCACAAAAATATGTATAAAAGATTTCAAGTTCTAAAACCTAAACGTAGCATGTCTGAAAATGTTATGAATTCTTAAATAACTCCAAAGTATGAAGTAGCATATTTTAAGATAAATTGAATAATTAAAGATTTCTTGGATGTATAGTTTGACTATTTTTACTTACTTGTTTTGTGTCTATTACCAATAAAAATAGTTGAAATTATTTCAAAAACAATGTCAATGTTAATATACTTGGAAATATTGTGAAAGACTTCAATAAATTTAAAGTAAATTAAATAAAAGTTAAATCATTTTAAATTCATAATAACCATTTCAAAATTAGGGGCAAGGGCTGTGCTGTTCCAGTTGTTTGGTTTGTAAATATGGTCAACCTAGTTAGGACCTTTATTATTTTGGATTAATGAATGAGTAATAAATTGCTTAACTTTTCTGATGATCAGTGGTGACCATATAGGGTGTGCAGTGCTCAGAGACCCACAAGGGGACCCAACAAACTCTAGTCCAATTAACTTTAAAAGGTCTGCTAATGAACAGTGGCAAACTGAGATCAGCAAAGTTTTCAGAAAGACTATGATGTCAACAATTTATTCCACACAAGGGCCCACAACTAAGTATGGCCACCACTGCTGATGATATTACGGATTGGGATGTTTCTTGCTGTGAGAAGGGTGCTGCTGCTTTACAAAAGGATTTAGATTATTTGGTGAGTTGAATGAATAAATGGCAAATGGGTTTTGATTATAATAAATGCAATATAATGCATGTGGATTATCATAATTTAAAGTATAATTTTGATGGGAATAACTTTTAACAGAGTTATAGAAGAAATGGTGTTCTGGTTGATCATTTCTCTTAACTCAAAGAAATATGTTGTTGCTAGTGGTATGGCAAACAGGATTTTTAGGTTGTATTTACAGAAACATTGAATATAAGGTTAAAGAGGTTATAATTTAATTGCATATGTTGTTTCAATTTAGGTATAGCAAGAGTGCTAAATTTAGGTATTTTTAGAAGCGATAGTTTATTGCAGGTTTGTTTACATAACTGTTTACGAATCACACATTGTGTAGTTCAATTGCTGTGAATGGGAGATGTTTATTATTGCATCATGTTACTAGAACCTTCTAAGTTTTTCTCGTCATCTCAATTCGAGTTAGAGAGATAGATAGATAGATTTTGACTGAGTGATTGTGAGTTTAGCCATAAAGAGCATACAGTGGCGATTTTTAAAGTGAAACTGTCACAGATTGTATTGTAATAACAGATTAGAGAAGAAACAATTTGTCTTGTCAACTTGTGTTCTAAAGTAACTGAACCAGCCTGTATGGACTTTGACAAAAAGAAAAAAAAGAGACAATTATTTAAAGCTCTAGATACAACTGTGATAACCAACAATGTAACAAATATTTGTATACATGTTTAAAACAAGTGGACTGTGTGCTGTTTGGTTTTTGTTGAAATGTATTGCCAACAAGTCAAACACATCTACTGTAAAGAATCCAGCCTACACATAAAACCTGACACACTGGTTAGGCCTATTTGGAGTATTGTGATCAAACTTGTGCTCCTTACCTTAGGAAGGACATTAAATTGTTGGAAAGGTTCTGATTGGGGCTAAAAGAATTATATTTAGCCTGGAAAGGTTCTGAGTAGGGCTAATAGAATGTTACCTGGTTAAGATCTTTAAACTGTTTTCTTTTGAGAAAAAAATGAGAGATAGAGGGAATATTATTGAGGCTTTCAAGATTGTTAAGAGAAGTGACAGTGCTGATGTACCATCTTTTCATACTTAATAATTAGAATGGTAGGTGACACAAATACAAATATTGGAGGGGTAGTAGTCATTTTCAGCTAAGTGTGTCTTATTTTCTATCACTGTGGTTCATCTTTCGAATGGGCTGTCTTTGTATGTGGTGGATGCAATAAATTTAAGGGAAGACTTCAAGTACACATTTATCATTTGTGACTACAGACATTAATACTTTTTTCCATTATTTATCATTAATATTGGGGTCACTTTGAAATTAGGTCAAAATATTGAAAGTGTCATAAATACTGATGATGACATCGACAATAACATGAAGAAGAAAACGACAATTCAAATGATGAAATTCAACAGAATATAGAGTTCTACCTAGTAGAATTTAAATCCAAGAAGTCAATGAAGCATTATGTAGCCAAAGTTATCTCATCTGAATCAACAAATAAAGAGGATTCAGATGATTATGAAATTATTTTTATGCAGCTGTCCAAGAAGTCCCATTCAAATTCATGTGGCCTGATATACCTGACAGAGAATATGTTGGACAAGATCAGATAAAATAAGACTCCACAAAAAGACAGAAGGGGAAGACTATTCCTTGAGAGTGAGCTGCAACAATATTTGAAGACTTTGAAGTAAATTTGTCTTAACAGAAGAACTGATTTTCAAGTTGAAATACTTCATACCTGAATGACTTCTATTAGATTTAAGAAAAATTGCTTCGTAACTCATATTAAGCTGTAATTTTATGATATTTGACAGATTTAAGGAAGAGATTCTTTTGTGAAATGTTCATTATTCAAACATGATGTTTTGATGTTCAATGTAACCCATATATTGATCCATCAATGAACAACAGCTGTTTAACAGTGGAAATAATAAAAAAGTACATCAGTCTTATTGTCATTGCTGAAATATATCATGACATATGAGAGTCAAGGTATATCTTCAATAATATTATTTTGTAACCCTCGTTTCTACCCTTTGCTTTCTTTGAAATTCAAAAAGATGCAAAAATGGTTCAAAGAAGCCACACTTGATGGTTCTGTTTGTTTGTTTGTTTGTAATTAAGCACAAAGCTACACAATGGGCTGTCTGTGCTCTGCCCACCACAGTTATCGAAACCCGGATTCTAGCATTATAAGTCTACAGACATACTGTTGTGCCTCTGGGGAGCTGATGGTTCTGTAAGTCATCTATCGTATCTGTTAATTTCAGCTTCTTAAATTTACAGTTTATTCTGATTTTCTCCTTTAAGTCTTTAGTTAGCAAATTAGATTTTATATTCCATATTAACCTTTCCCTCTTTTGAAATACATGTTTCTTTTATCTATAAGTAATTTTTTTTAATTTCCCAGATTTATCTCACACCACCTTTTAACTTGCTATCCCAATTCACTGATGATAAATTCTATCTCATGGACTGAATATTTATTTTAGGACCTAAAATTTCATTTTTTTTATCTGAGCATCGAGCAAAACAAATCCAATAATGCATTGATTGCTCTTCCTTAAATGTTCTCCTACCTCAGTTTTTCAATCATATCCTCATTAGTGGATGAAGTCGTCTATCTCTCCTTTTAGCCACAGTAAGTCTCACAGCCTTCCCACAAGGCAGATCCTCATTAGTGGATGAAGTCGTCAATCTCTCCTTTTAGCCACAGTAAGTCTCACAGCCTTCCCACAAGGCAGATCCTCATTAGTGGATGAAGTCGTCAATCTCTCCTTTTAGCCACAGTAAGTCTCACAGCCTTCCCACAAGGCAGATCCTCATTAGTGGATGAAGTCGTCAATCTATCTTTTTAGCCACAGTAAGTCTTCCCACAAGGCAGAGAAATGTAAGGTTTGTTACCTTTTCCTATGGCAAAGATGTAGTTCAACATAGTAGCAAAAGTATGTCCCTGGACATGTTTGACATGGACAATATCAAAGGAACCTGGATGTCACTCTCTAGAAGTGACAATACCCACTCATCCCAAGTTGTGTCCACCAGTCACCATACAAAGGTTACCTGAATCAAACTTGATAAAGTCCATAATCTTTCTTGTGGCAATATCTACTTAAACAGTATCATTCATTTTCACAAGAGGGTCTGGATAGTGAATAGTCTGGCCGTCATGAGTGGTCAGGAAAGGGATTCCTTTAGGCTCAACTTGTATACGCTTCACACTACAAAGCTTGTATTTTGCCTCTTCTGCTGTGATCTTATGTAAAATGAATCGACCGCTCACATCATACAAAATCCTGAAATATTCTCCAGTTTTCTCAATGGTGACCACATCCATCAAACCAGCTAGGTTGTTGGTATCTGTTCATACTTTACCATCAATTTTAATCAATCTCTGCATAACAATCTCTTTTATTTCAGCATTTGTCAGAGCATATTTCAATTGGTTTTGCAGAATAATTATGTGTGCCAGTGCTTGGTCGTGGTGCAAAGACACTACATAACTTGTCCAACATCCATGATTTCGGAGCATATTAATGCTTCAAATGCTTCTTCGGTCCACGAGCCATTTTAAACCAGCATAAGAATGAAAAAGTGGATAACATATAATCCCAACCAGTGCCTAAAACTAGTCATTCATAATTATTGCATCAGTATTTATTTTTAATAGTAACAATCCTGATCTTATTATACAATTTATCATTGATCTCATCTGTCTGATCAAGTGGCTTGTGACAAATGCCAATTAAAAACTTTCTACTCTTGAAATTTCTGATCATAAATCACAGAGAGCCCAGGCTTGTGGCTACAACTGTAATAGATCCTGCCTGAATCTGCCTCTGATTAATATCTTAGACCAATGTTTTTACTAAGTCAGCTAACGTGTAACAGGTGGCCGTGTAGGCTAGTCATTGGAGCTTGACTTTACCACCAGTAACAATAGATTTGTATTAAATCCAGTTATACAGTCGTGGGTGGAGTACACAACTCACTAAATTGATGAAGCTTACAATTAGAATAAACAATTAACTCTGAGACTGAGATTCAACACTTTAATGCACTATGTAAAGATACTTGATTACATCGAAATTACTTGGAACATATTATTATCAAAACTAATAAATCTATTAATCTGAACCAGTAATTGTTCTTCAATCAAACTTTCTATAACATCCATTAAATCACTTAACACCACCAGTAAGTTATCAATTAACACATTGATTGAAATCTGCTCAGTCATATCTTAATATTAAACATTATACATTCAGTCCTAACTATGTTATTCGATTCTAAGAAAGAAATAGCAATAGTTTACTTACATAGAGCTTAAGCAGGAAATGCTGAATACTTGCAGCATGATTGCAGACACGGTCAGCTTAGAGAGACTTCTTTAATGGCCGGAAACTGGAGACTTCTTCAACACCAGAGAGAGGCTGACTTTCTATGCCAGGGGAAAACTCACTCTTCTGGCCCAAAACAGGGATTCTTACACTAAATCTTTTTGGTATCTTTATGACTTTTCAAATACTGTACACATTGACCCTCAAGTAGGACTGACACTTAATTGGTTGATTTTTGCAAACTCATAGTGATTCTCAGAACCAAAAACAAAAATACTTTGATGATTGGTTATAGCTGAAGAAGGTAAATCATCAACCTACTTGCTTGTATCTCTCCTCGCATTTTTTATATGGATCCTATATCCAAGTTACAATTAATCCCTTTTTTAGAAACTGTGTCCAAGTTAATGTAAACTTTTCTTGTAACTTTCTCTCTGCTATGGTGGTGTCAGTCTATAGATATAGTCTCGAATGAAGTTAACATATACATTCTCATGGCTGTGATATCATCAGTTTATAGAGATTATAAACATGTATGTTTATAACGTAGCTTTGGTTTATACTTGACATACTTTCCTTGTTTGTCAATCATAACTTCTCACAACATTTTTTCTTATTGCCATACAAGGAACTTTTTGTGATATGCAGATTTTCTCAATACTTGAAGCATTTTAAATACAGTGGAATACCCAAAAATGCTACAAACTTAGATAAGTAACCTCTAATCTGATAATTACAGGATAATTCAAATAATTTCTATTTTGTATTAAATGTCTCTCAGTGAGTCAAAGGTAAGCTTATGGACTTAAAATGCTAAAATCCAGAGATTGATTCCCCGTGGTGGACAGATAGTTCATTATGTATCTTTACACTAACTGAAAAACAACACCTTTTGTTAGAAATTTTTGAATTATTGATTTTAAATGGCTACGCAAACCATACTAATTTATATCTAGTGTAAATATTGAATAAATAGGGGAAATTTAAGGAACTGTTTTTATTGTAACACTTAAATAAATGTTAATGTTTATGGAATGACATATTTGTTATAAGTATATGAATTTAACAATCATATTCCATATGAAGTTGTCATTGGGATGAAAAACTTTGGATAATATTCTGAACCACAATAAATTAGTCAAGGGAACATATTTGTTATAAGTATATGAATTTAACAATCATATTCCATATGAAGTTGTCATTGGGATGAAAAACTTTGGATAATATTCTGAACCACAATAAATTAGTCAAGGGAACATATTTGTTATAAGTATATGAATTTAACAATCATATTCCACATGAAGTTGTCATTGGGATGAAAAACTTTGGATAATATTCTGAACCACAATAAATTAGTCAAGGGAACAAACTTATTAAAGTGATTTAACAATTAAAAAATAATACAGCATCTACTTCCCAGCACTTAATTTAAACATGATGTCAGTGACCATAAAGTAACCCTATAAACTTCATTTTCCATGATGCCTTAAAATATTTTCCTTCCCCACTTGACCATTTATTTAAAAGTTTAATTCAGCAGTCTTATCTCTCAAATCTTTAGTCTGGTCATCACAGTACTGATGATTAAAGCTAACTTTGCAAGTTCCACCTTAATAAACTTAGTCCATATTTTCTATTTGTTGTTTGGATACAGTGCAGAGCTAGGTTTACTTACAGGTCATCAGTGCATGTTGCATAATAATTTTGTTTTAGAATGTGTAATAAAAGATTCATAAACACATATTTACTTGGGTTTTATTTTATCTTTTATTAGGAAAAATCTTTTGGAAACCATTTGATGGAAATGGCACCACGAAGAGCCTCATTAAGGATTGAGAAGAAAAATCAACAAGAAAAGGTTTTTATCTTTCATTCTTTGCTGAAGTAGTTAGGAACTCTGATGTTTTATAGTTTTAGAAGTTTGGAAAGAAGTAACAGAAATGTTTTTATTGTTGAGGCACAGTTCAACTTTACTGCACTTAAGAACTAGTCATTTTGCTTCTGATATTAAGACAGAACTGATACTGTTGAAGTTGACAATACTGTCAGTGATAATATTTATAATTATTTAGCTTTGACCTTGTAGGGAGAAGAATGCACACCATTGATCAAAATTTTTGTGGAGATGAAATATTTCATTATTTCATAAAAACTACTTGAATTGTAATATTGTGACATCTTGGATATAATCACAATTCATAGAGGACAACAAAGTTTATTAAACTTAACAGTTTCAGTAATTAATTTACCTTTATTAATTTCATAAATGTAATTCTCCTGTGAAGTTTCACCACAGTTATAAGCAATGATTTATAGACAAACTAACTACACAAATTACCATGTATACAGTGTTATTTGTATAAGGTATTTGGCAAAGTTTATCTTCCTGGCTAAATAAATGTATATTCATTAAGTATGGAGTTACTGAAAGAGTTCTGGTTACTAGGCTCAATCTTAAACATTATGTTTCCTACTAACATTAAAAAAGTGCATGTTGATAAAACTAGTTACTATTTAAATCTTTTGGGAAAAACAGATGAGCAGAAGTTCACAAGAATACCATACTGTTAATCTGATGATTGTAGGAATAAGGGTATAGCATCATCAACTGTCATTTTAAAGCACTTGGATACTGTGGTATATTGTTTTTTTTTGTTTATTACACTTGGGTACATGTACTATCCCAGTGAAATAATGCTTCCACAAGAAGAAAATAATAAAAAGAAGAATACCATGAGCAAGAAGAAAATTACAGATATACAACTATATTCTCTACGTCAAATGTATTTCAGAAAACATTAGAATGAATTGTGTTTAAGAAGTTGCCAAACTGTGGAAGAGCAAAACACCATATACTACATCCCATGTGATCCCAATACACTGGACCACAGCAGATAAACAAAAAATCTGTAATACTTATCTATTTACTGTAGTCCATCATGTCGGAGGAGAAGTACATAATAAAATGGAATTATATTGAAATAACAGGATATGAACCACATATATGAGAGCTAAAGCAATCCTTCTACATACATCTAACTAATAATGGTTTTAAGCCAAATGAACTTTAAAGTTAGCCTAACCTGGATAACTCCTTTTAAAAACATCCAAGAAGTTAATAGATTCATCTTTTATAGAAGTAATATTCTCTATAAGTAGACAGCACATCCAAACTTCCAACAAAGAGATTCAGGGTCAAGCCTGCCTTCTGCAAACACATTTAGTTTTTCTCAAGACTCTCTTGAAGATGGCAATAAGCAATGAAGAAATAGGGTAAAAACTAAATGTTAATTAGAAATGAAAAAAGAAAGTAACTAAGTAGGAATTAGTTAGCTTTGGTATTCCAAGAAAAAACTGCAGACAATGGTTGTATATTAAATTCTGGAAACCAATATCTTTGAGGAAAATGCATTCAAAAACAGAAAATGAAAGACTAGAGTATTTGTACAATATAAACTCTATATTGTATACAGTATATGTACCGGAGCTTATACTGTGCTTGTTGCTAAACTATGTTTGTTTGCTTTGTGTTAAGCCCAGAACTACAAAATGGACTGTACCCACCCCAAATTAAACCCAGACTTATATTGTTACAACTATTTGGCTGATGAAGCAGAGGGAGGAATCAGAATTTTATACTCCACGAAGGATAAAAGCATTATGTCTTAACCAGACAAGAGATAGAAGAATTATCTTGATGAAAGGCAGAAGGATTGAATCAATCCAAAGTCCTAGTGCATAGTGTGGTATATGTTAGTTCTAGATTACTTATCAGTTATCATTCCTATCACATACAATCAGGGTTCTTGATAATTTCTAACCAATGGTATTTCAGGCACAGATTTCCAAGCTCATGCACAAAAATTGTATCATAAAGGTTCATCCATCTGCAAACATTTTGATTCATGTGCTTGAAAAAAAAATAAAAACATTCATTAATTTTAGTGACCTAAGATCTAATGCTCTTACTAACTTTAGAGTAATTGCTGATTTCAAACACACCTGTGTCTTGAGGTTTGAGAATACCTAATGTAGTCTTTTCCTGGTGACCCCGTGGTTGCTTGACCCACTCTGGGAACAAGAAGGTTAGCTTGTTGGTTCACCAGTTTTTCTGAATAATAATAATAATTGGTGTTTAAATAAATAATTTCACTCTCCTAACTTGTATTTCTTTTGATGATTTTATTGAATTTCTTCATGTGATTGGTGAATGGACAAAGACTGATAGA